TGCAAATCATATATCCAACAAGGGGTTAATCTCCAAAATATATAAAGAACTCACACAACTCAACAACAAAAAAATAAACAACCCAATCAAAAAATGAGCAGAGGATATGAACAGACATTTTTCCAAAGAAGATATACAGATGGCAACAGGCACATAAAAAGATGTTCAACATCGCTAATCATCAGGGAAATGCAAATCAAAACTACATTGAGATATCACTTTATACCCATTAGAATGGCTATAATCACCAATACAAAAAGTAACAAATGCTGGAGACAATGTGGAGAAAAGGGAACCCTCATACACTGCTGGTGGGAATGCGAATTGGTGCAGCCACTATGGAAAACAGTATGGAGATTTCTTATAAAATTAAAAATAGAAATACCATATGATCCAGATATCCCACTACTGAGTGTTCATCCAAAGAACTTGAAATCAACAATTCAAAGAGACTTATGCACCCCTATGTTCATTGCAGCATTATTCACAATAGCCAAGACATGGAAGCAACCCAAGTGCCCATCAACGGATGAATGGATAAAGAAGACATGGTATATAGATACAGTGGAATACTACTCAGCCATAAAAAAAGACAAAGTTGTCCCATTTGCAACAATATGGATGGACCTTGAGGGTATTAAGTGAAGTGAAATAAGCCAGACAAAGACAAACACTGTATGATTTCACTCAAATGTGGAAGATAAACTAACACACAGACAGAGAGAACAGATGAGTGGTTACCAAAGGGGAAAAGGGTTGGGGGTGTTCATAAGGGGTAAAGGGGCACATTTATGTGGTGACGGACAAATAATAATGTACAATTGAAATTACACAATATCATAAACTATTATAACCTCAATAAAAGAAAAAAAAATCCTTTGGGGGGGCCGGCCCAGTGGCATAGTGGTTAAGTGCATGCGCTCCACTGTAGTGGCCCTGGGTTTGGATCCCGAGCGCACAACGACGCACCACTTGTCAAGCCATGCTGTGGCGGTGTCCCATATAAAGTGGAGGAAGATGGGCACAGATTTTAGCCCAGGGCCAGTCTTCCTCAGTAAAAAGAGGAGGATTGGCAACAGATGTTAGCTCAGGGCTGATCTTCCTCACACACACACACAAAAAAAACCTTTGGGAAAAAAAAACTAGGGCATTTCATAGGGCATTCTCAGTGGTTCCCTAATCTGGCATTATCTCATAAGTTTGTTTAAAAAAATACAGACTCCCTGATCCTTAGTCCTCGTAAACCTACTAAATTAGAATTCACAGGTGTCTGGAAACCTGACTTTTTTATAAACAAACCACCAAGGTATTGTTGGTGACCAGCTGTGTTTGGGAACCATGGCTATTCTCCTTTAATCCCATTTGTTATTTTACAAAAGTATTAGTAGTCCCATTTCATAGATGAGAAAGCTGAGGCTCAGAGGGAGTAGGAACCTGTTCAAAGTAACACTGCTAGTAAAGAGCCTTAGCTGGCATCAAACCTAGGTTAGTCACCAAAACATCCACCATATCTACAGCAATGAAGTTTATCAGGCACATCACTCTGTCTCAAATCCACTAAATACTCACTAAGAGCCATTTTCCTTAGGAGAAGACTGATCACATGCACATTTTAGAAGGAGGCATCAAGTTTTGGCATGATCTTTCTTTCACGCCAGAACTCTCTCCTACTCCCACCCATGCTAAGAGCTAAAGATGCTCTTTGCATCCTGAGATTTGTAGATCCTACATTCTCCCACATCCGAAACCTATCTGACCCAGGCCTTCCTCCCTCAGGAACTGGTTGTTTATGATCAATATAGACTGGTGGGAGAGGTGGGAGAAGGCAAACCTGCCATGCCCTCTCAGAGTATCCCACCCTCTTTCCTGGTAAGGACCAATTTCATTATCCCCCAAGTCCACCCAACAACTACCTTCCGCTTCCTCCATGAGGTTCATGTATTAAAGGGCTTTTGCTTACAGAGCCAACTGCTTGTATGAAATAATTCATTCTACCTGAAAATAAATACATCTGCAATTACCAATCAGTGCTTCAATAAACGGGAAACTAGGATGGATACGGTTCCACCTAAAAGCAAAGAAACTTATCTTTTTGTCAGTCTGTGCAGCCTGATTGTGGCTAAATGTACATTTTCCTTTCAACTGCTTAATATAATAAAGAACTTCCAGAAAACAAGGGATAGCTGGGATTTCATTGTAGGAATAACTGCAGCCTAATGAATCATTCTAACAGTAAGAATTTCAGTCAGTGGAGAAAGGACTTTATCATGGGCCCCAAACCTTTGCCCCAGCAATAGCCACATACTCTGCTGTGCATCAGATCTGCTCTGCATTTGCCACAATAAGTCCTGGGGTAGACAGTGCAGATGGAGCCATCAGGGTTAAAAAAACACAACATTCAGGTTTGTTCAGATGTGTTCTCTATTGAAGAAAAAGGAGAGAAATAACAGGGGCTCGCTACATGCTATGGGGTTCTCAAACTTTAGTGTTCATAAGAAACACCTGGGGAGTTTGTTAACAACTATATTCCCAGCTCCAGCTCCCAGAGACGCCAATTCTCCAGTCTGAGCTTGGGCTTGGGATTCTGCATTTTCGTCAAGACCTCGGGTGATTCAGATGCAGGTGTTTTCCTTAATTTTCCATTTAAAAAATTCTCAGACCTTAAGAAAGTTCTAAGAACAGTACAATGAACACCAGTATACCCTTCACCGAGATCAAGGGTCAGTGAACTTGTTCAGTAAAGGAACACAGTAAATATCTTCAGCTCTGTAGGCTATATAGTTTTTGTGGCAACTACTCAACCCGGCCATTGCAATATGGAAGCAAATGAGTGTGATGTCTTCCAATAAGACTTCATTTATGGACACTGAAATTTAAATTTCATGTAACTTTCACATCATAAAATATTACTCTTCTTTTGACTTTTCCCAACATGTTATATTTAAAGATGTAAAAACCATTCTTGGCTCATAATTGGTACGAAAACAGTCAAAGGGATAAGTTTGGCCTACAAGTCAGTTTGCCAACCCCTGATGAATCAATTGTGATCATAAAGTCTAAGCTTCTCTGAGGATGAACTTTAAATGTGCTACCGCTTTTCATATCCAGACTACTCACATTTTCCATCTTAGGAAAATTAAAAAAAAATGAATGTATGAAGTTGTTCTCTGACCCACTATTTGTTGTATTTTCATAGCTTGCTATGGTTGATATTTTTGGATGCCCGGTGGGGCAGAGTTCATCATTTAGAAATATTCATAGCTCAATCAGTCATTCTCTAATCTTATCACATAAAAATAGTGTGCCCTTCCCCCAAACACCGGGGCCTAATTAGGCATTCTTTTTTCAGCTTTTTTCTCATATTGAAGATGATTCCAATGGTTCAGCAAGATGTGAACAGCATTTTGTTATGTATGAGCGAAGGACCGGGGATGTCTTTCCTTGAATTTTTCCTCCCTGACCTTTTGTTGAAAATGAGCTCCAGCCCAGTGTCTGCTTCCATTTCTAGTAGATTGCTTTTTTACCAAGTTCAGACTTGATAAATATGATACAAATCTGTCACCCAATGACTCCCATTCACCGTCTTCACCTCTAAGGGAATTTCTCAAGTTATTAAACCTGGTTTCATAAGTATCTGAAAGCCAAACAGGAATTCTGAAGAAACTCCAATCCTGCATCACAAAATCAACAAACATTGTCACAATGGAATCGAAGTACTTACTAAGGATCAACTGAAAGAAACATTTGAATTAACTAAGTGCATTCCTGCTTATTGAAATGCCTTTCAACTGGACTTATCCAAACATTACCTCATCTCTTAAGGAATGAAGACCAGTTATCTGAAGTGTTCGAGCCTCTATCCATCACCTTGTTGCCCGCCCCTCCTCAAAACAAAGTAATCCATTTAATGGTATGAGGATGTGTTCTCTTCTGGTGAAGCTAGAGGAGTCATAAATCCCCCTCCCCACTCCTGCATCTAAACATCAGCTTAGCGGCTGCTTTGGAGTCATATTCTATGAGTCTGTGTGTCTGCCTTTCATCTTCTCACAAGCAGTCTCTTCCAGCCTCTGAAGATAATATATGGCAGGCTGGCTCAGGTGGAGAGGCACGAATCTCACAGCAAAGAACTAAAACCCTAGCCTGCCGACAGATGAGAAGGCCCTGTGTTTCTCATCAGCTGGCTGATTGGTGGATGGCCATATTTCTGGAGCTCAACCAACTGCCTCATCTGATGGAAAATGCTTATGAACTTACAAATCACCTTTGAATATATTTTCTCGGTAGAAATAAAACAGATTGCGGCTCCCAGTTGCCTGAAATGTGTATATCATATTAGAGACCAGCTTAACAATTGGAGAGGATTAAGGACAAAAACTGTATTAAAAAGTTCTATTAAAAGGAGACAATCGTGAAATACTTTAAGGTTGGGAGTTTTGTAAGTAATATAGGAATTGCAAATAAAAATAGATAAGTGAAATTTTTAGTCACAAAAAATAATAGACTGAAGTTAAATAGTGGGCCTATTATATTACCCCACTGGTTTCCAAACCTGGCTAGGATAGAATTACCCAGGGAGCTTTAAAAAAAATTCCAATGCCCAGGCTGCACCCCACAGCAATTAAATTCGAATGTAGGGGTTGGGGGATGGGGCCCAGGCCTCTATATTTTTTAAAGCTCCCCAGGTGATTCCCACGAGCAGCCAAGGTTGAGAACCTCTGCACTGGAGAATATGATCGCTGCTCATTGAAGCTTAGTCTCCCAAAATCTATTTGCTGAACCATTTCCCCTCCTCCTTTCTGCCAATAACCTTTACAGCTAGAATCTGGAATAAAAAAAGATTGATTGATAGACAGAGTCACACACATATATAAAAAATACATGCACACATATTTTTATTTATTTAACTTAGGCCCTGATTATTAGCATGCAAATCAGAAAAACTGGGTGCCTTGGAACTTACATATCCTCTCCAAATCTTTAAAGAGCCAAACTCTAAAAAACACACATAAAAGATATTTAAGTCATAAAAAACACACACACAAACTTTAATCACCTTCAGGAACCATGATCCAATAATATATTTAATAGGTAAGATCTCATTCATCAATATACAAAAAAAAACCCCCAACCCTAAACTTTGATTAAGAGGTGTGCCCTCAGCAAGAGCACTTACAGTTAGAAAGGTTTATTGGTAGCACTTTGAGGTAGCATATTTTGTAAAGTAACAGAAGTCACAGAGCTGCTCTGCAGTTTCTCCTGGACACGGGGGACAGGTCATCAGCCCTTGCTCCTGGGAGAGGAAAGTGAATTTGTCTGTACTCACTGCCCAAGTCAGCATGAACACACTTCCTACCATCTTGCCGTGGCCGTCCCTCCACACACTTGATGCGTTGTGGGTTTAGGAAAAGGTAAAGGCATCTTGATGCTTCTTTCCTCTTGATGTGGTGACATCCCAGGCTGTGGATCCAGTCTCTTTCTGCCACATGCAATCCTCACTGGCAGGAGATGCATGCTCCCAGTGGGAAGGGAAATAGGGCGTCATGGCGCCTTTTTTTAATTGGCTCTAACAATTTAATTAATTAAGTGACCGACACCTCTAAGGCTACAAAGAGTTTTGTTTCTGAATATTCACTCCATGATTCTGGCCCTTAAAAGGCTCTCCCTTTTTTCTCCCCCTGAGTACAATATTTTCGGGTATTATTTAAGCTTTCCGCAATTTTCCTGGCAGGATGCTGAGCAGAAACGCTTAAAAAAAAAATCCACACACAAAAACAACAACACAAAACCCGGGTGCAGGAGCCACCCCAAGAACAGACTTCCTTCGTGCAAGTTGAAATGACCCAAGTTTACAGTTCAGGAAAACGGCCTGCTTCTTTTAAAAATAATGTAAATATTCAGCTCAGCTCTGTATTTTAAACACAAATATACAGTCGAAACAGGCTAAGGATTAAAGCTGCAAAAATGGTCCCAACAACCTCAGACCTTGGTGGAGGTCCAATTTTTGCCCAATGGTCACAGATTAAAGGGATGTCTAACCCCTAAAAGCCCTTTTGTCCCAATATGCTTCCTGTTTGAAAGTGGAACTCTTAGAAGGAAGCAATATACAAATGAATAAAAATAGCACATGTCCAGGCAAAAAGGGCATGAGCTGAGCCTGAGTTGCCACTTAAAACTCTATCATTCACTAGCCTATAAAATTCTCAAAGCCTGCCCGGAACCAGGGCCCAAGGCATCACTGAGCACGCCAGCCACCCAAGTCAACTGCTGACCAAAGTCAACGACACACTGAGCATTAGACTTCAAGTATCCAAGGTGCTACAAGAGCTGGTCCTCCCCAGGACTCAGGCTGACTCTCAGAACCCCCACCCCACTGCACGACCTCCCATTATACAAAAGGTGAAGCACTGCCTGTGGTCAGGAGAAAACACCGGGGTGGAAGGCGAGGAAGAAGAGAACTGCTCTCTGAAGATACCAGCCTAACAAATACAAATAAATTCTCTAACATTTTGTACAACTAGAAGGTGCGTGAGCCGGTATTTCAGCAATTCCTTTAAACGCTTTCTTTTCTCCCCTTTCTGTATCAAACAGGAAAATGGTTCCATTGGGTTAACAGTGTCATTTTAAAATGCCATAAATTAAATAAGTTAGTTCACATTTTTTTTCCCCTAGCACTTAAGTTACAGTTAGTCTCTAATGTGCTTTTGAAGTTGCTTTAAGAGCTCCAGGTCTTTTCTGTGGACAGCGCCGGCTCTGTGACAACCATATTCGTCCAGCTGCAAAGGTATGAATTGTTCAAGCAGCCCGAGGCCCTGTCCAGCAGGGCTGCTAAATAGCTTAGTCCATGATGGTTTAAAGTTTCCGCTGAATCCCAAAAATACGGTACTCCCTAAAAAAAAAAAAGAGTTCAATTTGTATATCTACTCGTTCCAGGCAAGATAACATAGGAGTTGAGTCGGAGGTGAGCAAAACAAAGACGGCTATAAAGCAAAAAACAAAAAAAAAAACTACACTTGCTTACATCAGCAAATGAACTCTTACCACCCACCTCTTGGCCCAAATAACAAACCACATCCCAACACACTTCCTCTAACACAGCCTCCTTATTTAGGAATTATCTTCCTGATACTCACCCCAGCAAAACAATCTGGTGAAAATGAGCTGGTGGCTAAATTCCACCATCAAAATGCACATGTTGCTAGCCTCATAAGAACTTCATAGAATAAGGCAAATACAAACCTTTGTTATAAAGATGAGCTGGTTTGGCTAATCCCAGAGGTACTAACGAATGTGAGATATTTAACTGTTTTATTTCTCCTCTTGTGCTCAACAGAACAATTGACCTGTATGTAAAATTTAGAAAATCAGAGCAAATTTCAATACTCAGCATGTACTTATTGAGTGCCTTTCTGAACTGAAGACAGTATAGAAATACTAGATAAAAGCAGAACTTGAGAAAAAACATGCTTTTTCATTCCTGCTGTTACCAGTTCCCATCTCCCTGCCCCACCTAGAACTTATGTTACTATTACAAGGGGTCTCTAAATGTAGGGACAACAAGTCATTGAGGTCAGTTGACCTAGTGGACGGCTTGGGACATAGCTCTTTTATGGATTAAACTATTGTAACAGGGGAGGTGGGTTTTGTTTGTTTCTGATGCTCTATTTATCTCTTTATGTTCTATTATCTATTTATTAAATAAACAGAAAAAAAACCAATTCTAAAGAAATAAAATCTGTTCCCCATGGTTTAAATCGCCATCTTTATTATGAAGTACATCAACACACATACTCCAATCTGTTTGTGGATTCTCTCTTCTCCTGATCTCTCTCTTCTCTGCCAATACTATGCCAGCTCAATTACTATGGCTTCATGGTTTATTTTAATACCTGATAAAATAAGCCCCTTGTATTATTATAATTTGTTTAAAAATATTTTATTACTCGCCCACATTTATTCTTCCAGATGAACTTCAGTATCAACTGTCAAGTACAATCGAAAAGTAACTTATTGGGACACTGATGGAAATGTGTTAAATTTTATTTTAATTTAGGTAGAGTAACACCTTTGCAATACTAATTTTCCATCCAGAAACAGGGAGAGCCTCTCCTTCTATTCAACTTTTGTTGTATATCCTTTAGTAAAGTATTTATTTTCTTAATGTGCATCTTGACATTTCTTATTAAGATTCCTAAGTTTAGGTTGGTGTGGGTTCTTTGTCGAAGTCTTTCTAAAGCAGTAGTGACTAAATGCAGAGCAAGACCAGAGGGCAGACCGTAGCAACCCTGTAGGCCTGACTTTCTTCAATGGGTCACAATTACTCAGACTAGTCCCACGAGATTACCACAAGGTTCCCCCTCGCCCACCCACACCCTGACATGCGCAGTCTCCCTAGAAGTCACTGCCAGTTGCCCCACAACTTCTTAACATTGTATTAAGACACAACGTACATACAGAACAGTATTCCTAAGTGTACAGCACATTAAATTTTTGCAAACTAAACATACTTGTATAACCAGCACCCAGATCAAGAAACAGACCACTACCAGTATCTCGAAAGTCTTCCTCGAGTCCCCTTTCTAGAAATAACCTTGTGACTTTTTAATAAGTCGCTTTTAACTCTTAAATCTACAGGATACCTTGCAGGACTACCATGTTGCCCTAAATATTTGTGGTGAAATTTATGTTCTGGATTGTTTTAGGTAGAGGGAATGAGTGCATGTGTTTCCAACATTAGAAAAAGTCTTTAAATTCTTAAAGAAAACTGAGACCTTGAAAGGAATTCCCCACAAGTGTCTTAAAACCAGAAGACAGAGCTATATGAATACATTGACTATTACACTCAAATAATCCAATGATTTTATGGGACTTTTTGAGATCTGGTTCTGTAATGTATAAAGAGCATAAGTGATCAGATCAACTGAACTTGATTTAAAAGCCTTTGCTCCCTGGGAAGCTTATGTCCCTCCCTTAATGGCTTCACTAAAGGAAGGCCCATGTATAAATAAACATCTGCAACAAAGCCAAGGGGGTAGAAAGGAGGCTGAATTTATCTCCTTGCCTCCAGGCAGGGTGTGACCAACACTGAAAAAGAAAAGTTTCTCTCCTGTGCACCTTTCTTCAGAGACTAACACAGAACAACTAATCAGACTAGGGCTCTTAAAAGAGAAACCACACACTTATCAACTTAAAAATCCATTTATCTCTTTCCAGTCACTTCCAAGTGACCAGGTGATGTCCTGATATACCACAGTCACAGCACAATGCTGTCTGAGGTTCATCAGTGGGACAGGTGGCTGCAAAGGTAAAACTGTCTATGGAATTGCTTTAAAATGGTAATGAGCCTTATGAGTGAGTTGGGTACAGTATAGAACAACTTAACACTAAAAAGTGGGACAATAATGCTCCAAAATATTGAGATTTTCTGCTTCTAAGAGTCTTCCTACCACTTGCAAACTCTTCTAATATCCAAGCTCTCGCTTATCAATGATAACAGCTTAGACCACACGGGCATTAATCTGAGATGGGGAAGGAATGAATACCTTTCAAGAGTCCTAAATGCCCGCAGAGTAAAGGCAGGAAGATAAACCAAAGCTCAGAGTTGACCAGGTGTCCCCTTTATGATGGCTTGTCTCTCCTACAGAGCAAGCTCCACCTACCTTAGAGGGATGCCTGCTTTTAAATACTCTTCCACACGACTGACATCGGCAAGAGAGAAAAACAACTTCTCCGTCAACCGGAAGGGGACACTGCAAGCATCCACGATGAGGAGAAGGACCCCCGCACTGCGGAAGGTAAAGTCGGTGCCATTGACCTGAGAATACAAAAACATCTTCTGGGGTCACCACCATTTCAGTACCTCCAGAATGACTCGTCTTTCCAGCCCCATCCCTTTGTCTTCTAAACCCATGAATCACATGATATTTCCAGGATTCAAATTGCATATTCTATTTACTCTTCCTCTGCCAACATTTGAAATTGTGCCTGCGTTCTCAGAAACTTTGCCTTGACGGGTCTTTACTATGTGGAGGATCAGCATTGGCCACCCCAAAATGTGTCTCTCTGGCATGATTATTTTTAAGAACAAAAGACTCAGAAAGAAACTTGGACTTTCCCCCTAACTGCTTAAAAGAATTTAAGATAGAAGGCCTGTCCCAGGAAAGAGCTAATACCATAGATAACTATAGCATAATATAAACTAGGTGTGGTAGGCAGGGAGGAACCTAGCAAGGCTCCTCTAATCAGTGTTCCCCATGTGCCACTGTTTTTGCAAGGGATGGCAAACATCTGTTTACCAAACATTTGCTTTTCCATCTCCATGAGAACTGCCTTTGGCCCCTTTGCAGTCCCAAACCACTACCCTCAACATCCTCCTTTGCCTTTAGCTGAAGATGGTATTTAAGGTGGTGCTGTGGCCATTTTAGCAAGTTATTAAGTTTTCCTGAGTCTCTCCTATGTGTGCATAATATTAAACTTTGCTTGATTTTCTCCTGTTATTCTGTCTCATTTCAATTTAATTCTTAGACCAGCCAGAAGAATCTAGAGGGTAGAGGAGTATTGTTCCTCCCCTACAACTGACTGGATAAGATGCTCTGAGGAAAGCATGGCAACTACACTCAGCTGAGCAGGGTGACACTCTCTGCAGGTTTAAGGCCTTCATTCTTACACACATGCTCTTTCATCCGGGTCAAAGCTTTCTAATTCTGTAATCAGATGGCAGCCTCTACGCTGCAGCTCAGAGAGCTCACTATTGTCACATTGGTTCCAAAAATATATATATGTATCATGCCTTAAGCCACATACACCTCCCGTTAGGGTTTAGGTTTGGAATATTGGAGGAGCCAGATTGCCTCATCACCTTTGTTCCAAATAGAGCTCTCCTTTTAAATCAAAATGGAAAAGTGGAAGGGCCGGCCCAATGGCGTAGCAGTTAAGTTTGCGCGCTCTGCTTCAGCGGCCCAGGGTTCGCAGGTTCGGATCCTGCGCACGGACCTAAGCACCGCTTGTCAAGCCATGCTGTGGCGGTGTCCCATATAAAGTAGAGGAAGATGGGGCCGGA